TTTCGGCGCCCGAGAGGCGCTTTTTCTGGTGTGTCGTACCGGTTACCTCACACACGACTACGAGACTATACCCGGGTACGAGAGCGAGTATACGAGAACCCCGGCTCGCTCTCGGTCTCGTTACATACCTACTCACAGCCACATCAATTTGTATTTTACGAATAGCGTGGAACTGATATGAGAACTATGCGAAGAGGCGATTCTATGTATTTTTAACACAGTATTAGGACACACTGTACTGCATATGTAACACCCAAACGCTTGTTTTGCATGTCTTTAATGGCTGACCCCACCTTTCTAGATATTTTGATCAACTCAGTTTGTACAGAATTTCACAGGCTATCCAACAGCATTCCTTTGAAAATATATAGTTTTCCATTAAGATAGAAAAACCCTTCAAAATGGGTGTTTACACTGACCGTTTACTTCGACTTTAGTCGCAAACCTTTCTGTAATAAATCTGCGTATCCCAAACTTTTGACGGTGATTCCAGATAGTACACTGAAAATACTATCTACTGCAAGTAGTCGGTAGTAAAAAATCACGGTTTTATCTCTTTCCGTTTACGAGTAAAACGAAATATACGTTTTTCACGTGTATAACTTCTCGAACTTCGGTTTTCGAACATGTTCTAGAAGATGAGACTACTGTCGTGGCTGCTGCGTAATGACTTTAAGGGATCTTTCATTGAATAAAATCTTTTTAGATTTCGACTTTTTTTACTTCCATTAATAGCTGACACAGAATAAGACTATATTATGCGAAAATAATCGAATTTTAACTCAAAACTCCAGATGTCCGCGTGCTCTACGAAGCCCACTATATACCGTATTTAGCCTGCGTTATATTCAGTTTATAACAAATATTTTAAAAGGGATTTAGAGAACCTAAGGTATCCTGAAGGGTATCTAGGAAGTCTCTCGAGAAAAGCATGATTTTTTTGCTTGTTCGATTTCATAATCACGACTAGCGGATAAAATTAACCATATCCTGAGTGTGGTCTTATGAGTGAATATTAACTGTTTCATGTTAAGAGGAAAGAGTAGTTTTTGGATAATTCCCGGGATGTTTTTCCGAGATCTCCTAGAGACCTATATTAAGGAACATTTTTGAAAAGGTTTCGGCATAAAAAATATGCTCCCAAGTTCTCTCTTTCGAATAGCGAAAACCGCAAGCCGTGTTTTGTTCAAAAGTTATTCGAAAAGTAACCAAGGCTCTCGAAAAGGACAGTAGTCTCACAGATTAGTTGTTACAATCTATTATACCGTCTTGGATGTTCGTGGAAGAGTTGATGTACTCTTTTCATTGCTTAATGTGAGAAGAAAATCTTTTAAGCTCTGGAAGTCACATGTTGACTAGTATTTTGGCAACATAGGGTGGGAAATGATGGATAAAACTAAGAAATTCCAACTAGTTATGCAGCGGTATCGGTATCCATACCTAAATACCGTTACCGAAAACATCGAATTTCGGTGTATACCGATACCGAAAATACCGACTTTTTTTGATTTTTTCATCTGAAATGAGTTAGTTTAGCGTCATGGACAGTCAGAACACAAAAAACTCAGAATGCTAAGTTATCTCATTTCAGATGAAAAAATCAAAAAAAGTCGGTATTTTCGGTATCGATATTTTCCATATCAGCATTTTCTGTATTCGATATACCGATATCGATGCATACCTAATTCCAACACTACACTTTGAAATGCTCAATATTTCGTGACATTTTTTCAAAATCGACTTATCGTTATCACAATAGGCTGTTGATAGGAGAGGAACTTCGATGAAAATAAACTTAACTCATTTAAGTGCACCTAATGACCTCTATAGTACCATCATTTTCCGAAGGAAAACATTTTGCTCAATACCATTTTTAGAATGCAGAAGTAATTAGTTTGAAATGAATATTGCCCCTATTCGAACCTCGACCTTCTCGAAACAGCAAAGCCTTTTCCTTTAAATATCTTACTTGATGTTGTCGATGTTGTACTCGTTGTACTAGTAGTAGTTGTTGATGTTGTCGATGTGGTCACAGAAGCTTAAAGAAATACGGCGTTCATCTTTGCACAGTATTTTCTAGCCAATTTGATTTATTAAAACCTACTTGTAGTTGATGTTGTACTTGTACTACTGGTCGCTAGAAAAGAACAACAATTGTAGGTCAGAAAAACAATTTTTGTTCTTAAGACTTACTTGCTGTTGTGGTTGTAGTAGAAGTTGACGTTGTTGTCGTCGAAGTTGCTGCATAAGAAAGATGTACAAAGCAAACTTGCACTTTCTAGTGAAATAGCCACGCACTATTTATTAGACTATTATTATCTTAAGCCTAACAAATTAAACTACCATATTTTAATAATTATTTACTTCCCGAGGAAAGTAAATAACTAAGTATGGTTCAAACTATAAAAACAAAGTTATTTTTGATTTTACTCCCGACCAATACTACCTAAAGTGAGTACGACGATAGATTCGTGTAGATGACGCTTTTGTGTACAAGTATGTATTGGAAAAAAATTTTCAACTCAGTTTTTATCCCATTAAAATTTTAAGTTTTTCAAAAATTTTAAACTCGAAAGCTTCCAAATTTTAAAACCGATAGAAATTCTTTTCTAAGAATTTAGTATGGTAGAGCAAACGATTTTGAGCAAAATGAGATTTTCCGCAGTTTTCTACGATTTGGTCTCGCTGAGTTATGAACTTTTTTTGAGAGCATCAACGCCTTTCTTTCGCAACGCACAGTGAAAGAATAAAAAAAGACATTTTTTCGTGCAAAAAAGGATACAAATAAAGATGTGCCTAAAAATCTGACTAGTGTCTCGAGAATTATTTAATCGTTGAAGGTATGGACAATCCAAATAGAACATTCGAGATCGTATGCACTTAGCATATGTAAAATTGCATACTTTGTGTTGTAATGGGTGCTGGTGGTGTTGCTGATGGAACTTTTGATGATAAAACTATGAATGGTACTGTGGCTGCGACACCACCAACAACAGTCACTGCGACGATACCAGCTAAAATTTTGCATAATTTTGAACCAAGAAATCCTCCACGACGTCTAAAACAATAATAACAACGCAAACAGTTGTAGCACATACATAATGTATACAGAGTTAATGTTCGATTATATACATACGCCACTGATTTTATTTGTCGTAAATTTTTCACATTCGCACGTATCTGTCTCGCCGATATGATGGATGATTGGCTCTTTTCATATAGGAAAACATATTTTAAAAGGAAGAATCGTACGTTTTATATATCTTACCGAAAACTGCGATTTTCCGTATCGATTAGCCATTTCGAAGCTAGTCGCCATTCTTCTTCGACTAAGCAAAACATTTAAAACGCTCCTATATTATTTCTGATGTTTTACAAGCCAACCATTATTTATGCTTAAACTCTTGAGTGTCTTATAAAGACTCTATTATTATGCCTTTGGTTTTCCAACGAGTATTTTCGCTATCAACACAAAATTTTCTAACAAGGGAATGTCCCCAACTGTAGAATAAATTTTAAGCTCATATTTTTTCCAGAAGATGACCTCGATCAGACTACTAAAAGCTAAAAGTATTTCATCTCACCGACCTTCTTCATCGAGATATCGAATTTTCACTCTCTGCATAAGCAAAATTAATGTTTCTTTTTCAATCAATTTCTTTTCTTTTTACACGCTCTGAAATGCGCACAAGACACCTGACCATTGAGTATCTCAACCAAAAGTTTCAGTACCAACTGACTCTAAAGATCTTAGAATATCGAATTTTTGTTTGCACAGGTAGCGAAAAGGTTTCCCTAGATATTGAATCTCATATACTTAACTGATAAGGGGTGTATAAAGAACTAATATGGATATTATCTTAGCCAAGCAAGATCCTCATAAGGATCTTATCAAATTCGTACACGTGATTCGAGCACGATTGTGTTAATTATTCCGTATGCGGCTTATGAGAATCTGATAATTATTTTATGTTAAAAGAACTTTATAAGTAATCCAAAATTATCTTGGAAAAATTATTATGGGATATTTATACAAGTCGTATAAATGCCGTATACGATTTTCATAACTCACTTATCAAAATCTTACCTATTTCTCCTAATCTACGATTGTATCTACAATGAGAACCAAATTTATTCATCCATTCATTTAGTGTGACATTGTTTGAACTATAGTTTCTGAATGAAACAAGCTAGAGAAGGCTTTTTTGAAAATCAGATCGAGCAGAACGTAGCTCCCGCAAAATTCTACCTATCGCCCTACTTTTGAACATTTCTCAGTCGTGTTTCAACAGAAAACAAAGCGTGTTGTGGAAGTCAGTTTTGACAGAAAACATCATTTTGCATGTGAAAGATGGTGTGCATCTAGAAGATTTATTCATGGCTTAAAATATAGGGTAGCACTATTGCCACTCTCTGAGAGTGTCAACAAGAGCTATTGCCACTCTCTGAGAGTGTCAACAAGAGCTATTGCCACTCTCTGAGAGTGTCAACAAGAGCTATTGCCACTCTCTGAGAGTGTCAACAAGG